TGGATAAATTAGTTCCTCCTTTTCTGGGAGGCATAATTAACGACGAACCACTCGTAAAATCGACTGGAACTAATTAACTTAATTAATAATTTCAAAAATAATTTCAAAATAATGTAATATAATTAATTAATCAAATAAATAAATTCGACGAGTTGAACAAAGAAATGTATGTAACCGACGAAAATAAGATGCGACCTATCTCGACAGTGTAAAGTGACGAATGAAGAATCACTTAAAACACGATTTTCTGGTATTATCGATCGATTAAATTTAGTTGAAGTTGTCACAACTGATCCTTATAGTGATGTATTATATTTAATGGCTGTTGTTTTGTATCCTTCTTTTAAATTCTACTGGATTCGTGATTTACAATTGCCGGTTCAAATGGAAAATCGTTTAAAACAAAATATCATCAAATTAATTATTGATGAAATGAACAAAGATTCAAAAACATCCGCAACTGAATTACACAAAATTAATTTTTCTTCAACAACATCATGCTTTACTTCAACACCAAAAGCCAAACGTCGAAAATTATTTAATTACGATGATAATAATATGGACGATTCTAATGAATCAACAACACTTGACCCGACTGTCGAATTAAATGCTTATTTAAATGATCCAGTGCGAACAAAATTTTCCGATTACTGGTTTCATTCTCAACTGAACATTCTAAAAAAATTGGTTATACGTTTGTTTTCAGTTCAAGCATTATCAGCACCTATTGAACGCGCATTCTCACATGCCGGATTGATATTGTCGCAAAGAAGAACAAACATGAGCGAACATTTATTTCGTGATTTAGTTTTTTTACGCGTGAATCAAAAGTTGTTATAAATATATTCTCTTATACTTCTCATATGTACGATTACTCTTGTCAGATTGTTTTGTTGTTTTTCTGTTAAATTCAAGCTCTCTAATTTCTTCTTCTAAAAAGTTAATGCTTTCCAGCCGGTGATATTTTTTCAAACTAATAAAAATTTTAACTCTTCTTAAAAATTTATCTTCTATTGTTTGCCATTCCAAAGTGCAGCAAATATACCCACCCAGGTCAATGACGCTCGGTAGTAAACGGCCGTTCACCAACTTAATACGTCAAAAAACGGTAACTTTTTACGCTCGTCGTAAACAGCAGCTGTAAACGATGATTTACAGCATATTACGACAACCGTACACAGTAACCGTAAAAGTTCATCGTAACTACTACCGT